TTTTTGGGACAGAGAGAGACAGAGCATGAATGGGGAAGGGGCAGAGAGAGAGGGAGACACAGAACCGGAAACAGGCTCCAGGCTCTGAGCCATCAGCCCAGAGCCTGACGCGGGGCTCGAACTCACGGACCGCGAGATCGTGACCTGGCTGAAGTCGGACGCTTAACCTACTGTGCCACCCAGGCGCCCCAAAAAAAAGTTTTTTTTAAATCCCAACACTCATGGAACTTCTTACACCTATGGGAGATATGTAATAAATAAATATTCAAATAAGTAAATAAGAATTTTGGATAATGATAAGTGATATCAAGAAAATAAAATGGTAAATTGATGGGCAAATAAAATGGTCAGGGAAGGTCTCCTGGGAGAATGATCTCCGTGGTGAGGTCAGAATGATGAGAAAGAGGTGAGATCTCAGGTAGGAGCGTTCCAGATAGAGGGAGCAACAAGTGCAAAGCTGCTCCTAATAAAAGTAGGAACCAGTGGGAATGTTCAAGAAACAGAGAGCAGGCTAGTGTGACTGGAGCACAGACTAGGAAGAGGATAGTCAGAGAGAAGATCAGAGTCAGGAAGAAGTCAGAACCCTTGGGTATGGTGCCTTCCCTATTTCACCCTCTGAATTCCAAAGTACCTTTGATTCTTCAGACACTCCATACTCTTGTCCCTCCTGTTTATGCCCTTGATTTGCTCTTTTTACTTAGAAAGCATCTACTCATGGCGTGCCTGGGTGGCTCAGTCAGTTAAGCATCTGACTTCGGCTCAGGTTATAATCTCATGTTTCATGAGCTCGAGCCCTGAGTCAGGCTTTACATTGACAGACCGGAGCCTGCTTTTGATTCTGTCTCCCTCTCTCTCTGCCCCTCCTCCACTCCCATTTCCCTCCCTCCCTCCCTCTCTCTCTCTCTCTCTCTCTCTCTGTCAAAATAAATAAGCAAACAAGCAAACAAACATGAATATATTTTCTACCAGGGAAACCAAATACTCAATTACTCACTTACTTACTACAGGACAAAGTCCTATGAAGGAGAAATACAGAATGCCATGAGTATCCTTAACAGGAGACCTTGCCTAGTGTAAAGGTCAGGAAAGGCTTCTTTGAGAAATGACAACAGAACTGAGCTCTGAAGGATGAGGAGGAACAAACGAGGAGACTGAACATTGCTGACAAAATGTGTTACACATTCGAAGGTTCTCAGGATGAAGCATGGTGTGTTAAATGTTAGCACAGCTGAAGAACAAAGGCATAAGACACAAGAAGAACGAGACATCATTAATTCATAGCATGGTAGAAGACAATCTAGAATACTGATCTTAAGAAGTAACACATATTCCAATATTCACTTAGCAGTGATGTGGGTTTGTTTTACCTATGTCAACAATAAAAAAACAAATGGAGGAAAAAACACGACAAGCAATATGTAAATGAGTTGCCTTAAACCTCTCTAACACAGTGTACCATTCCGTGGTTCCTAATGTATTTCTGTCATAAGTAATTGGAAAGAACCATTAACACAAGTATCAAGTACTACAATAAAAGATATATTTGGTGCTGTGGGAACACAGTCATTTACATATTTGTATTATGAGACTGTCAATTTCTTGAGGGCTGGTCTTCTTATTCATTTTCATATTCAGCTCTGTAGCCAGCACACTGCCTTACTCCCTATAAGTCCTCAAACAGTTACTGAGTGAATCTCAGTTTGCCTGCATGACTCATAGTTTATGTTACTAATTGGCACACACCCTGATCTGAGGTTAGCTGGCAGAAGCCTCCCTGAGAGACACAGGGATTGAAGGAACAAAACAGATCCGATTTTGTAGAACAAACGAATTTAAAACAACCAAAATAGGGGAGATGTACTATAGCTATTGTCAGATACAGGCTAAACACACCACTGACTAAATACATTGAAAAATACTTTAATCTGAAGAATATGAAGAAAAGTCAAGGCCTGTAAAAAGATAATAAACACCAAGCATCTCAAGGAGGGGAAAGGAGGAAAAAAAAAAAAAAGAAAGTTCAATGTTTTAGGCTTACTGACGACAGCAACAGGAAAACAATGTTTCTATGGCCGTGATGATAGAAATGGACAGTGACCGTAGGGGAAAGAAACAGTGAGTTGGGAGGAGGTGCTGGCCAGGTCTGGAATGCACAATAGATTGTGCCAGGGTCCTGTCAATCTCTCTCTAGAAAATGAGCTCAGAGCTGTGCCCACTCACTCCTGTGCTGTATCTCAGCTCTTTGTTGGGGAGCTTGTAGATCTGCCAGCATTATGTGCTACATGGCACATGGTGCCCAGGGAGCACTATTTTAAGACTCTATTATTTTAAGGTAAAAGAAGCACAAAGCTTTGTGTGTGTGTGTGTGTGTGTGTGTGTGTGTGTGTGTGTGTTGAATATCTAGTATTTCCTACAAGCAAAGTTTCCAAAACTCATGATGAAAGAATATGAACATCTCAAAAAAGGACAGCCAAGAAGAAAACTCAAAATTAATTGTCTGAGGAAGAAAGCCTATCCTGCCAAAATGACAACACCACCAATAAGGGAAGTGAATGGTCTTGGATGGTCTTGGAATCTGACCCTTCTATTTCTCCTAAAAGTGAGGTATGGTCCTACTGCCACACAAAAACTTTGCATCCTAGTATTTTGACCTTCCTGTCATGAATGACCTGGAATCTAGGTTCTGATGAAAACAATCAATGTGGCCAATGATCTAATCTCCAAATCCAACAAAACATGACACTTCCAATCAGTTGTTTCCCTAGGAACACTCTCCTGCCTCAACTTCCATACCACCCGCTTCCCAGATATGTGTTTGTCCTGTCATGCTAGCTTTTTGCTTTCTGACTCCCAATTAGTTGGGGGGCAGGGTGGATACTCTCTGTCTAAATCCTCAGTCTTCTTTTCTTTTATCCATATAATCTCTACCAGAGAACACACCTACTCTTCTGGACTTTATCTATGTCAACAGTTCTCAACTGGGAGTGATTCTACCGCCCAGGGGACACTAGGCAATGTCTGGTGATGTTTTTGGCTGCCAAAACCAGGGGGGGAGGGTGCTATTGGTACCTGGAAAGCAGAGGCCAGGGATGCTGCTAAACACCCTACAATGCCCAGGATAGCCCCAACAACAAAGAATCATCTGGCCCAAAATGTCAACGGTGCCACTGTTTAGAAACCCTGACCTACACAGATGACTTTAAATCCTTTACTCTTTTATCTGACACGTGTATTACCTATTTAAGACTTGCTGTGCCCAATGAACTGGGTGGGGAGCTGGGGGAAGGCACAGAGGGACTATAGACGCAGGCATCCATCTGAGAAGCATTATACCCTCAAAGAAAGAGCACCTATCTGGAGGAAATGAGCCATGCCTCAGTATAAACCAGACAAATGTTCTAACCACCTTTAGGGGATCTCCATATCCCCATGTCCCAAACCAAACACTTTATCATATTCCCTTCTACCCACCATCATCACCACCTAACTGGTTCCTCCTTTTATGTTGTCTATAATTTCAATCATTATCTTCCCAAACATCACTGGTAAATTTAAACTTCTTCCTCTTGCCCAGTACTGGATCAGAGGCCAAGTCCTTGTGAATTCACCCTGATTATGTTTCTTATACTTATTCTTACCCCTATATCTACCATTTTTCTTCCCCACTGCCCCATGCTCAAGATGCCCTTTGGTGTCTAGGGCTTTATAACAAAGAAACATTTTATAGAGTTTTGCTGTTATCATTTTTATTTTTTTTTATAATTTTCTTTATTTGAGAGACAGAGAGAGAGAGTGGGAGAGGGGGCAAAGGGAGAGGGGGAGAGAGAGAGAGAGAGAGAGAGAGAGAGAGAGAGAGAGACAACCCCAACCCCAAACAGGTCCCACGCTCAGCACGGAGTGAGACATGGGGCTCGATCCCACAACCCTGGGATCATAACCTGAGCTGAAATCAAGAGTCGGACACTCAACTGACTGAGCCACCCATGTGTCCATTGTTAATGTTTTTAAAGAAACTCATGTTGAAGGTAATATAGAGGTAGTGGGAAGGGCATATGTTTTGGGGTCAAAAAAGATAATTTGGAATCTTGGCTCTATTTATTAACTGAGTGGCCTTGAACCACTTACTTATTTCGCTAAGCCTCAGTTTCTTTCTCTGTAAAAAGACATATTACATAATACCTAATTAATAAGTATGTTTGTTAGGATAATAGAACCTGAAATATCATAGGTATTCACTATATGGTAGCCATTATGATATTATAATTATGTTTATACATACCTCATATGTTGTAGGTACTTAAATATCAAATTTGGAACAGACTGAAAATATAAACCATAATTATAGAATTGTGTTTATGAAATTTGTTAGAATCTCCTGAATCTTTTTAGATATAAGCTAATTTTTAAGATTTCAATCCATGCTTATTTGAAAAACTCACCTCAAAAGAAAGGAATGGAGAATTGTAATGACAGTAATAATATTTTTATTGTTATTATTTAATAGAAGTCAAGCCCAAACAACATGCAGGGAATGTACTTTAAAACGCCAGAAAGCAGGCCCACTTTCATCCCTCTTAACCCAGCAAAACTCTTAATTCATAAATTTAAAACTCCTCAAAAAGGTCTTACAGCAGCACACTCACTATGGTATGAACCCAGCCACAGAATGTTTATCAAACAACGTACTTACTTGTTCCATGTAATAAAAGTTGCTCTCTGTGTTGAAATGCCAAGACCAACAATTTGATTCATCTCTATTCCTGCAGCTAAAAATAAAGATAGGTAAAACACATGGGGGTAAAAGCCAGTGAAGTTTTCTTTATAATATTATAGTATGGGAAATAGATCATTCAATATAATCTTTAAGAAAAACATCTGGGTTTAGCATTTAGTAACATAACTGGAGCTAATAAAGAAAGCATTACTAAGATGATTTTGTAGTAATTTTTTACTTAAAGGGAAAAAGGTCATATTTGAATAATAGCAAAATGGGCTTTTGCTTTAAATGTTAGGAAAAAAATAAACAATACTCAAGGTTACTTGGATTGTATTTTCTTCTTGTAATACTAAAAGAGTGGATCTTAATTCAAGCAATGATCAACCTATGAAAATTAATACAGGGAAACCTCTCTAAAATGCAGTCACAACCATACCACTGGGTCAATTACAGGAAGACCTATCAGTTACAGACCCCACGAAAAGAATCCTCAGCAGAAAAGAATTGACAATCACAGGTCCTGATAGGAAAAGACGTACACTGCATCTTCCATAACAAATCTACTACCCAAGCCAATGAGAAACCATCATCACCCTAAACTCTTGCTTGTCTCCCAATGGACCACAGTTCAAAACAAACCTTCCCAACTTCTTTCTCCTTTTTAACAAAAGAACATTCCTCTTTTTTGTTTGTTGGAATAGCCTATGGTTTTTGCCATAGCTTGCTTGTCCCAAATTGCACTTCTGCTATTCCTGAATAAACCCCTATTTGCCAGTAAAACAACTTATTTTCAAGATCAACACACCATAGTAGAAGCTGGTTGATGACGTAAAGGAAAATCCCCAGGGAAAGTATTATAATTAGTGAAGCTCAGATCTTATTTTCCATACAAACAGATGCTAAATGCAAATAAAACATGGGTTTTTTTGGTTCATATTTCTTAAAATACAGCTACTTGAGTATTTTTCATGATATTGTTTTAAAAGAGCAATTTATGCCACTAGGAAAAATAGGGACAACTTCAATTTGAGTACTGAGGAAGACATATCACCTCACACACAGTACTTCTCTCAAAAATATTTAACCTGAAGCTAATCATGAGAAATAAATCAGGACAAGCCATAATGTAGGACTGTCTAATAAACTGGTCTGTACTTTTGAAAATTGTCAGTGTCATAAAGAACACGCTCTAGATTAAAAGAGACTAGATAGACTGACTGCTACGTGCAATGCCTCATCTTTGGCCGGATTCTGGATTGGCAAAAAGCTATTAATGACTGAGATAAGAGAGGACTATTGAAGATGAAGCATTAGAAAATATTACTGTATTAATGTTAAATTTCCTCTAAGATAAGTGCACTGTAGTTATATAAAAGAATTCCCCTTTCTTTTTTTTAAAAATATGTTTTAACGTTTGTTTATTTTTTTGAGAAAGAGACAGAGAGACAGAACACAAGCAGTGGAGGGGCAGAGAGAGAGGGAGACACAGAATCCAAAGCAGGCTCCAGGCTCTGAGCTGTCTGCACAGAGCCTGACGCAGGGCTGGAACTCATGAGCTATGAGATCATGACCTGAGCTGAAGTCAGACACTCAACCGACTGAGCCACCCAGGCATCCCGAGAATTCCCCTTTCTTTGGAGATAATGTTCAAGTATTTAGGGAGAACAGGTTATTATGTCACAGCCAATGTTCAAATGGGTCAAATAAAAGAGTTTGCAAAGGATGATAAACACTACTAAACATGTTTGAATCTGGGAAAAAGGTATACAGGTATTCCATGTACTACTGGAACTTTTTAAAATAAGTTTGACATATTTCAAACCAAAAAAGGTAAGAAGGAGAAGCAATTCAATCACAAAAGTGAAGTAAGAGATCTTTTGGAATTCACATTTATAAGTCATCTTTTGCCATGTTTTTAAAGAAAGTTGCATTGAAAATGTTCTTAAAGAGCTAAGATTTCAGACTGTCGCTATGGCCAGGACAGCACTTTGCATCAAGAGGCCACACAGAAAAACAAAAACAGGGGCAGCTGGGTGGCTCAGATGGTTAAGTGTCTGACTTCAGCTCAGGTCATGATCTCACAGTTTGTGAGTTCAAGCCCGGCACTGGGCTCTGTGCTGACAGCTCAGAGCCTGGAGCCTGCTTCGGATTCTGTGTCTCCCTCTTTCTCTCTGCCCCTCTCCGGCTCATGCTCTTTCTCTGTCTCAAAAATAAGTAAACATTTAAAAAAAATTAAAAAACAAAAAAAACCCTTGTCTAACAATAAAGGTATCTCAAGTGTAAATTTCTAACAGCAGGAACTGTGTGTTATAACTTTGTTAATAAATAACCTCTGGTATTTTGTACACAACACGAAATCAAATGAGCACTAACTACAACTAGGAATGAAGAAGGAAGGTGAACCTTTATACTGCAGTTGAAAAAAGATTTAAGCCAGAGGAGAGAGTTGCCATTACCTTTCCTTGACAAAGTGGTTAACGGTAAACCACAAATGTCGGCTGAAAAATACTGGGAAATTGTGACCCCAGTAAAATACTATTTGTATAATTATAGCTTAGGCAACCCACAAAATTCTAAAGACTGAGGAAAACCCTTACTAACACAAAATATACTTTATTATTTTTATTTTTCTAAATCTAATTACCTTTAACAGACTCTTTTATCACAGCAAGAAACTGAAGCCAGAGAACATCAGGATCAATTTCAACCCAGCCAGTTTGAGGATAAAGTCTTTGTACCTATTTAGAAAAAGCAAATAAAAACAACATTAGAGCACGTCAATAATATCTGGGTCTTAAAATTACTGGTTAAAATGATTAACAACATGATTTTATTATCTAATTCATTTTTATGGTTAAAATGCAAAATAGGAAATAAAAAGTTTTCTTTTGTTCATGACTTATAGAAAATTTTAGTTTTCTTTGTCCTTACTTTCCAAATTTATCTTTATTTTTCAAGTTTTCCAGAATGGAGATGTACCATTTTTGTAACAAGAGAAATATCTTTTTAAATATAAAAATCAACAAATCAAGTACCAGGTTCTGCTTCAGACTATGATGAAGGAAGCACACTCCACCCCGTCTCTCCCACTGAATGCATGGAGCAGCTATTTGTGGACTCCACAACTGAACTGGTGGTAAGTTTCCCATTTTATTTCCTGATCTTCCCTGGCCTGGACTCAAGGCAATCCACAAAACCAGAAGTGAGTACCAGGGCGCAGTGGAAACTCCAAGAGAAGCTCTCATGTTTTGGCTAACAGAGAATGGGAGAAGTCCTCCATATTTCTTTTTTCCCCCACTTTGCCCACATACGTTTGTACCTAGGCTATCTTGTAGTAGTGGTTGCACCAGTAATCACAAGCACCTAAAATACCGAAGGAGGTAAAACTTCCTCTCCAATCAGAGGAGCTGTGGCCCAAGACCCTCATAGCTTTTTTTCTCTCTCTGTGCTTCCTGATGCGTAGCCCCAGCTGTGGGCATAGGAAGTGCCAGCAGAGTAGGGTAATGAAAGCTCTAGCGTTCTGGCAAGAGTAGCCACAAGGGGAGGCTCAGGGAACCAAAAAGTACCAGGAAAATCTCAGAGAGGGAGGGGCTTGGGAAAGCTGCTCCAGAAAGTTGTGAATGAATCCCGAGGCTCACCTCAAACCTGCACATGTGTGAATATAATCCTAAACAGCATAGCAAAGATGTTAAGAATAGAACTAAGGGAGAGACCACTACCCAGGTGCCAGACTGACTACTGGGTGGCAAATACACAGGACAGATACAAATAGTACCACCAAGATTTTGGAAATAACCAACAGTGAAACCAAAGTCCACAGAAGGGTAGCCTGAACCCAACTGCATTCATTGCCTGGTGAAAGAAAAATATCAACATTCATCATAAGATTTACACAAGACCCAGACTCTTATAACACAATATTCAAAATTCCATGATACAATCTGAAAATTATAAGGTATGTGAAGAACCAGAAAAATCTACCCTCACATGGGAAAAGGTAATAGATACTAACGCCAAGATGACAAATATCAGATCAAGACTTCAAAGCAGCGATTATAAAAATGTTCCAAGAAAGAAGGGCAAAGTATTTTGAAACAAATGCCAAGATAAAAAGTCTCAGCCAAGAAATGTTAAGACAAAAAAAATATTAGAACTGAAAAATACAATAATTAGGAGAATAGGGGAAAAGGAAAGATGCTGGTCAAAGGGTACAAACTTTCAGATATAAGATGAGTAAGTTCTAGAGCCCTAACATACAGCATGGTAACTATGGTTAATAATAATGTACTGTACACTTGAAATTGCTAAGACAACTGTTGTGAAGTGTTCTCAACATACACACACACATGCACAAATAGTGATTATGTGAGTTACTGGGTATGTTATTTAGCTTAATTGTGGTAATCATTTCACAATGTATATGTATACCAAAACATCATGTTGTACACCTTACATATATATACAACTTCTACTTGTCAATCATACCTCAATAAAGCTGGTAAAATCAATTTTAAAAAAGAAAAATATAATAATTAAAATAGGGGCGCCTGGGTGGCTCACTCAGTTGAGCATTCGATTCTTGATTTCAGCTCAGGTCATGATCCCAGGGTCTTGGGATTGAGCACCGCATTGGGCTCGGCATTGAGCATGAAGCCTGCTTAAGATTCTCTCTCTCTTTCTGTCCCTCTGCCCCTCAGCTACTCATGCTCTCTCTAAAAAACAAAAAACAAACAAAAATCCTGGATGGCCTCAATAGTAAAATAAAGATAATAGAAGAATGTCAGTAAACCAAGATAGATCCATAGAAATTATCTGACATAAATATAAGAAAGGAAAAATATTGGGGAAAAAATCAAATAAAGCCTCAGGGATCTATGAGACAAGAGCAAAAGGTCTAGTATTTATGTCATCAGACTCCCCAGAGAAGAAAAGAAAGAGTTCAGTGAGAAAAAAAAAAAAATTACTCCAGGGAAGTAACAGTGCTAAAAATTTCCTAAGTTCAGTGAAAGATTTAAAATCTAGGGGCGCCTGGGTGGCGCAGTCGGTTAAGCGTCCGACTTCAGCCAGGTCACGATCTTGCGGTCCGTGAGTTCGAGCCCCGCGTCAGGCTCTGGGCTGATGGCTCGGAGCCTGGAGCCTGTTTCCGATTCTGTGTCTCCCTCTCTCTCTGACCCTCCCCCGTTCATGCTCTGTCTCTCTCTGTCCCAAAAAAAATAAATAAACATTGAAAAAAAAAAAATTAAAAAAAAAAAAAAAAAGAAAAAAAAGATTTAAAATCTATATATTCAAGGGGTGCCTGGGTGGCTCAGTTGGTTGAGCGTCCAACTCTTCATTTCAACTCAGGTCATGATCCCTGGGTTGTGGGATCAATCCCTGTGGGATCAGGGTCCGTGCTGAGCATGGAGCCTGCTTAAGATTTTGTCTCTCTCTCTCTCTCTCACTCTCTCATTCTCTCTCTCTCTCTCCCCCCTGCCTGCATGGCCTCTCTCTCTACAATTGAAAGACAAAAGGTTAATGCAGAAGGACAATGAGAAGAGAGCAAACAGGCTCAGACCTAGGTTTTATCAAATGTTGTTAATGATAACAGTGTGTGGGTGGCACATGGCTAAAGAGAGCAGAAAGATGATACTTCACTCCCTACTCAGATTGCACCACATCTTTATTCAACCCCGGCAGAGATTCCATGGTAAATTAGAGGTACCTCCAAAGGTTGGGATGCCAAATGAGGCTGAACACACAAGATCGGTTCAAAGGCTTTATAAGGATCCCCAATCCCCTCCTCCAGCCCCATCACTGCCCCTACCTAACCAAGCAGATGGTAAAAGGTTTACTCTCCAGAGGGACTGATCCAGAAGAGTTCTTTCCCTGCAAATACCAGATATAGCTGAGTGGGGTAAGACTACTGAGTGGTACTGAAAATATGAACAAATAACCAACCAAAGATCGAACATGTAAGAAAAGGACAAAATAAAGAAAAAAAAAGGAATGCTGAGGAGACAGTGACTATGTGGGGAGCATGAGGGTGACAAGGTCTGATATGAAAAAAGAATCCACTGAGTTCTGAGACATATTTAACAAAATCTACTCCCTTTCTATCTAATATTTGCTTTTTTCTAGGCAAGGCTTTCATGACCATAGACAAATGGCTCAGCTGCAACAAACACTTCTTCATCCAAAAAAACTGAAAGTGGACATCACTGCCTCAAGTCTACAAACCTTCAGACTTGATGGTGGTACTCCACAGTCACTCCCCCCACTCCACCAGCCCAGACAGCTCACTATCCCCAAACATGTCACAACAGAGAAATCTCTTGTACTGAAGGAAGACCACACCGATTAGACAAAACTATAACCAAAGCTAACAAGATCTGTTTTGTGGATTACAAACAAAACAAAAAGATAGCAACCAGAAGTTTTCAAGACAGAAGGGTACACAGTAGTAGAGGCCATACTGTTTTCTTTGAAGTGGCCTTTCTATCCTGTTCTTCCCACCAAGATGTTATTGTTTTCCATGGTTTCTCACAATAGCATGATGTTCCAATGGGGAACATGATAAACTTTCTCCATTTTTAAAATTAGAAACATCAAATATTGACATGTGGATTTAGTTTGTAACACCAATATTCAAGAATCTATAGAAAGATTTGCTTTTAAAATACAAATTAGGGGCGCTTGGGTGGCTCAGTCAGTTGAGTGTCCAACTCTTGATTTCAGCTCAGGTCATGATCCCAGGGTCGTGAGATAGAGCGCTGAATCAGGCTCTGTGCTCAGTGGGGAGCCGGCTTAAGATTCTCTCTTTCTCTCTCCCCACTGCCTCCCCCTATGCCTGCCTCTCCCCAGCTTGTACTTTCTCTCTAAAATAAATAAATACATAAAGATAAATAAAAAGTACAAATTATTTTAAAAGCCTAAAAACGTATCTCTGCTGCTAAAAAATGAATGCCACAAGAAATAAAACTGGTCTTCTGGAGGCCTGGTATTAGCCTCCTAACATAAGGGTTCATGTTTGGGATTTCAATTTTATGTAAAAAACTAACACAGCCTATTTTGTTCTTGTCTCTAAAGGGTGATCTCTTCACTTTTTCTTTCTCTCTTTCTCTTTGAAGCTATTTATGCAGCAGCATCAATCGAATCCTATACTAAGAGGTTTTGGGTTTCTACTATTCAGTCTTACCATCATATTAGCAGAGGTGATTTTCATCTGAGACAATATACAAAAGTTCTGTGTCCAAACCAAAGTTTCATGAAGCAAACTTAATTCTTAATACTTTAATTAAATGCAATACAGTGATTTATTCTGTACCCATGAGGTAATAAACCAGGGGCTAAATAGCAATGTAGGCCAATTCTCAAAGAACTCCAGCTATCTGAAGTAAGTGACCAACCAATTGCTGATTGTTCCTTTCTAATTTGTTATGGACCAACAATTTTTTTTAATGTTTACTATTTATTTTGAGAGAGAGAGGGAGAGCATGCATGGGGGAGGGACAGAGAGAGAGGGAAAGGGAGAATCCCAAGCTGACAGCCTGGAGCCTGACCCTGGCCAATCCCATAAACTGCAAGATCATGACCTGACCCAAAATCAAGAGTCTGACACTCAAGTGACTGCGCCATCCAGGTGACCCATGGACCAACAATTTTTTTTTAATTTTTTTTATTTCTGAGAGACAGAGCACGAGAGGGGGAGGGGCAAAGAGAGAGGGAGACACACAATCCCAATCAGGCTCTAGGCTCATCGCTGTAAGCACAGAGTGTGAGATGGGGCTTGAACGCACGAAGGGTAAGATCATGACCTGAGCCAAAGTGGGATGCCTAACCGACTGAGCCACCCAGGTGCCCCTGGACCAACAATAAGACACAATTAAAAAATTTTCTAGGGGCACCTGCGTGGCTCAGTCAGTTGAGCCTCCAACTTTACCTCAAGTCATGATCTCACAGTCTGAGTTCAAGCCCTGCATCGGACTCTGTGCTGGCAGCTCAGAGCCTGGAGCCTGCTTCAGATTCTGTGTCTCCCTCTCTCTCTGCCCCTCCCCTGTTTGCAATGTCTCTCTCAAAAATAAATAAACATTAAAAAAAACCCAAAAAGACACAATTAAAACAATTTCCTAGGGGCTCCTGGGTGGCTCAATCGGTTAAGTGTCTGACTTCAGCTCAGGTCATGATCTCATGGTTTGTGAGTCTGAGCCTGGCATTGGGCTCTGCTGTCAGCGCAGAGCCCGCTTTGGATCCTCCATCCCCCTCTCTCTTTGCCCCCCCCCCCCGCTTGCATTCTTTCTCTTAAAAGTAAATAAAAAAATTAAAATAAAACAATTTTCTCGGAAAAAATTACATACAAAAGAAAATCCCAAGTGTTTCAGTATTAAGGTCAACAGACATAAAATTACTCTACCAAACTGGTACACAAGTTTCTAAATCTTAGTTTCTTTATCTCTACCCCAAATGCCCAGGAACTACACTTTGAGAAGCAGTGCTATAAACTCCTACTACAGTTGGAGAAGCATTGCTAAAAACTCCTCAATCTAAGTGCTTCATCCGTTAGGGCAGGGACTTTTTGTATGTTCATTAATTCACATGTCTTTCCAGACACATCACAGTAGAGAGTGTGAGCAAAACATTCTTTGCTCCTGCTATTCAGAGCAATCTTGATTCAACTTTGGGATTCCTACCTCATTTCTCAAAGGTAATCATTTGCCCCTAATAAAATAGCAACCGAAACTTTGTATTTTCTGACAATCTGTGTCTCCCTTTGGTTCCAAATACTTCAATTCCTTAAACAAACACATACAAACAACAACAAACAACAACAAAAACCCCACGACTGCCTAAAACAAAAGTACTGTGTGTCTAGAATTATGAGGGAGACTGTGTGAAAAGTATCATTGTGTTGTGATAAAGACTCATAAAAAGATAAGACGCATGCAGTCACTGAAGGACAGTGTTCTTTCAGGTTGGAGGAGGGTTGGTGTGTGTAGGTTTCTGCACAGGTAGCCAGAGAAGGGCCCAGCAAGTGGCTGGGCTCCCAGCTCTCTGTCCTGGTCCTGAAACCAGAATGAAATTCCCCCGTTTTCTCAAAGCAGTAACTTGGCTAGACCTACTCCTGGCAAGTGCTATGGTTGAAAAACACTGCTAAGGGGTTGGGAAGAAGAGAGGGAACTGAGCAAAAACAAGAGTCCAAGGGCTGATGGGAATGGTTAGGTAACTAATGGCTCCTAACACGGCAATCAAAAAAGATGTTGATATTGGAAAGAAGGGTAAAAACACCATATCCAATCAACATTATTTTTGGTGCACTTGTAGAAATTAACACTTCATTAAAATAAGAACGGAAGAACACCAATCTGTTGGTCGCTTTACTAATAACAACAAGGAGTTGGGAGGTTTCTCAAATCAGAAAAAGCTATTTTTATCAATGTTCAAAGATGGAAAAGATAGGGCCCCTGGATGGCTCAGTTGGTTAAGCGACCGACTTCGGCTCAGGTCATGATCTCACTGCTCCTGAGTTCGAGCCCCGCATGGGGCTCGGTGCTCACGGCTCAGAGCCTGGCGCCTGCTCTGGATTCTGTGTCTTCCTATCTCTCTGTCCCTCCCTAGTGTGTGCAATCTCTCTCTCT